TAAGCAGCTTATAATTGGAGGAATGCCTAGAGTAGACACAGTGCAGAGCATGATTTAAGGGAAAAACAGTTATACCAGGACAAGAATCCATGGCTTTACAATACAGAATACGGCAGCGTTCTGTATTGTAAAGATACCCGCTGTATGGCAGGCTGGGGGCGAGAGCCACTCCTCCTGATAAAGGAGTTGTAGGACCTTGTTCCAGTTCTTATGGAAGGCTGCCCTCAGACCGGCAATCCACCTTAGTGAATGTGAACTTTATCAGCTCTTGCTACTGTGCTGCTTGAAAAGCATCTTCCCATAGAACCCATTGGAAGCTGCCAGGAGGTGGCAGTAACCTTGACAGCTTCTGTCACTGCTATGTGACTTAAAGCATCCTCCTATAAATCTTCTTAGAAGTAGTTTTCCCATAGTTAGAAGTATTGCACACTGCACCCTCTTCACTGTGCACTGCCCTCCTTCAAGCCTCGGTGACCTAATGTTGGTGGAACCCTTACTGCACACCGCCCTTGCCTTCGTGGGAACCGGCCCCTTGCTGTGCACTGTCCACCTCCTGGCCTAGGTGACCTAATGGGGGTGGACCCTATGTTTTATTGTTCACGACCCTATCACTATCCTTAAAGATGATTTCACTCACTACCCTTCCCCCTAACCTATACACAATAAATACTCATGCTTTTGGACATTTGGGGCCTCACCAGCCTCGCCTGACTCCACTTATACGTGGCGTGGCCCCCGAGCCCAGCTGCATTTTCTTTGTACTTCTGTGTCCTGTCTCTTTATTTCTCGGATCCTGTGCCTCAGCACAGCATAAGGCTCACCCCACGACCCTGTGGGGCACTCAGCCCTACAATAATAGATGAGGTTTTTTTATAAAATGAAAGGAAAATTTAAAAAGAAAAGGGACAGAATGATGCTTTGAGTACTTCCACTTCCAGTAATAATAAAATGAGTGATTTGGAACAAATATCTGGCAGACGAAAGGTGGGCAAATTTTTCAAATGTCACAAGGCATCAAAAGACAACCGAAAAACATCGTTTATTTGAATAGGAGAATGAGGGCATACATATTAAAAATAAAAAACAATATATTTATTCCATTATATCCTCCACTACCCACTCTCATTTTCTCCCCTGTTGCATCAGTAGCCAGGCTTATCTCTTTAATGTGTGCCTGTTTTTGGTATGGCCTTTTGGCAAAATGTGTGGAATCTGGGGTGCATATGTATAGTTTGTGTTATAAAACTCTTAAAATTTTTCACTCAAAACTATGTTTTTCTCAATATTTTACTACAAAATTTTTTTCAAGACAGGGTCTTACCTTGTCACCTTGGCTGGACTACTGGCATGATCACAGTTCACTGCAGCCTTGATCACCTGCGCTCAAGCAATCTTCCCACCTCAGCCTCCAAAGTAGCTGGGACTATTGGTGTGCCCAACCACATCTGGCTTTTTTTTTTTTTTTTTTTTGCAA